AGGCAGCAGCGGCTTGTTTTCCTCATTGTCACGGTTTATGGGGGGTGAAAGCATTGGAGGTTAAAAATAGTTCTGAACTGTAAGCAATAGAAAGTGATCTGCTTTTCACCGTTGCGGTAAGAAAATCTACCGGTTTTCAACTGTTGGTGAAATACTCGGCCGGTGTAGTGACAGGCTGGCTCTGGAAAGCAATAGCCATTGTTAATTAAGTGCATTAAAGGAGTGTAAAAACACGGTTGGAATTGTTCGTTTATGAACTGTAATCCAGATTTCCATCAAAGTTACAGAAACTTTAAGAATGCTTATAAACTGCAGGCGGCTGAGTGTTTTAATCGTTCCTGGCATTTTGTCACTTGAGAATTTTCTTCCCACTGAATATCTTTTGATAAAGAGGTTTCTTTTTCCTTCATGTCTTTCTTTCAACAGTCTTATTTGCTAGGATACTGTTACTGCTACTTGGATATGAGTGGTCTTGTTCTTGTCTCGTGTATGAGGTGTGAACAAAGACTGGAAGAATTAAAAAGTCCAGGCTTCGGTGCACATCTCCGGGATATTTGGATCCTTTTTGGTATCTTTTGTATCCCACTCTCTCCTCAGATGGAGGAGACAATTCTTAGTCCATGGAAGAAACAAGTATGTGGAAGGTCTGCTTGGTAAACTTCATGGCATGAAATGCTACCGAATAGTGGATATAAATGTGGCTATAAATAAAAACTATAGTAGAAGGTAACTGATAATTTTTACATTTGTTTAATTAAAGTCATTACGGTGATGCAGCAAGGCACAAAGCACAGAACAATTAGGCAATTTTTTTCCCCCCTGTTATTTTTGACTTTGCTGCTGCAAAACACAGTGAAAGCACAAGCACAGTTAGTAAAAGTACTTGAAAGCAGATGTTTCGTTTCTTCTGGCAGTATCTGAGGCATCCCTTTCAGCGTGTTTCCCCCCTGGCCCTGATCATTTTACTAGAGAACCCTATTCTTACTCATAGTGGCATAAGGACAAAATTCTCACTTTTTTTTTTATGGAAGGAGGCTTGGCCTGTATACATATATCTTACAGAAAATGACTCCAATGTTCCTTTAGAGCAACAAACTGATTTGTAGTCAGTTGAAAGTATGCCTTTCAATTAAGTGTTTAATCTAGCCCTTGCAAAATCTGTTTTAAAACAATAGTAGAAACTGTAACGCCAAAATCTGATCTACAGTGCTATTCAGTAACACAAATACATTGTGTTCAAGTCAAGACTTGAGAGTCTTGAAGGGTTGCATTGCACGGGGAGCAGGGAGGAAGGAGAGAGAAGATTGATTCACGTGCTATGTCTAGACGTTTTTTACAGTACTTCTCATGAAGGTTAGATGGTCAAAAGCATAACAGTACTTCTCATGAAGGTTAGATGGTCAAAAGCATAGGGTGCCCCCCATTTTGTTTGTATTAAGATTGAGGACAGGTTAGAATGAAAAGGGATGCAATAGCTATTGCAAGGTGAAGTTATGTTTGCTGCTTGTAGTTCAGACTTGAGATCAACAAAAAGTTGGCAAGGCTATTTTTGTTGTATCCTGAAAAAATTCCACAAAAGTCCAGGTATCCAGCTTTAAGCCAAAATCTGTTTTTATTCATACTGATCATATAAATTACAGATGTTACCAAACTATATACACAATTGCTCTTGTGGTT